TTCTTGCTGTCAGAGCAATGAGACCAGGAAGTACAGAGGCAAGTGTAGGTACCCGATCATTAAATAGTGGGCATTGAAATCTACTGATGTTGTAAACATGAACTACTGTACAGTATCTTCTTAAAAACACATTTCCTTCTGCTGGCTTCCAGGTTGAAGTAAGGGTTGGTGTAGCAACTATCCCATTGGAATCCAGAATGCAAAACTTTTTCCTTTTCACAAATTAAAGTATGAGTTTCTTATTATAGCCTGTTAGCTTTGGTCTTTTTATACCTTTTAGCAGTTGAGTGGAATTGATTGCCACTGCTTACAGCAGGATTTTTTAAAAAAAAACAAAACCAGTAACAGATTTCTTTGGTTATCTTGGTTAAGGAAAATGGTGATTCTTTTCCCTTGTTTGTGTTGCATTAAGAGAATGGTTAAAGCTTCAGGCCTTTCAGTGACTTGCAATAACATAAGGTTCAATTTTAACTGCAATATGTATTGTGTTGGGAGTGAGGAGCTTTGCTAACATTCGAACAGGGTTCATTTGAGAGTGTTTACTTGAGCAGACTTATAAAAACTGCTATTCAACAGGTCTGATGTGATAAGCCAAAGTATTAAGAATTAACATGAAGGATTTTCCTATGTATGTTTGAGTCTAAGCAAGGTAGAAGGTGTAATTACATTGACGATGGTGTTTTTATAACTTTCTGTATCCCAGTGTTCATGATGGCAAAGAGTTGTGTTGTGTTGCGTTGCGATCCACTTGCTGATGAAGAGGCTTGCAGAACATTGAGAAACTTATTAGGAGTATGGAGGCAAAAGGGGTTAGTCAGAACTGCGCATTGTTAGCTGGATATGTTTTGTATAATGGGAGAGAAGGTTTTCACCTTGTTAGCTGGATATAATGTTTTGTATAATGGGAGAGAAGGTTTTTTGCTTCTGTTGCAGTTCCCTGCCACAGCTGTAGTCAGAGTTGAGTTTATTGTGGGTTCACAGTTTGAAGTCATCACAAGAGCAGGCATTTCTTTGATTTATAACTACATGTTTAACTCGTCACTGCCATTCCTTGTACTTTCCTATGACAATTATACTAATAGGCTGCTGTATATAGATGAAATGTCCTATAGCAACACCTCTAGAAGAGTGAAATAGCCATAAGAGATTGAATACTTGTCCTTGCTACTTGTGTCATGCTTGTAAAACACAGTTGGCAGCTTCTCTTGGGGACGCAAGGGAACTGGGATAGTGGGGAATGGGGGCTTATGGCAAGTTTAATCATTTCCGTTGCCCCATCCTTTGCTCATTATGGTTCTTAGTGATGCTGTTTCTCCCACACCCTTTGTTTTGTAGCGTTGGCATTTATAGTCATGTTAGTGTGTTTGGGATTCTCTGCAAGCACCATGTTTGGTATTGGCCACTGAATTCAGCACCATGAGAACATTGACTCATACCATTGGTCCATCAAGGTCAGTATTGTCTGCTCAGACTGGAAGTGGCCCTCCAGGGTCTCAGGCAGAGGTCTTTCACGTCATCTACTGCCTGGCCCTTGCAACTGAAGATGTCAGGGGTTGAACCTGGGATCTTGTGCTCACAAAACAGGTGTTCAACTGCTTAGCCAGCTTGGTGGAGTAGTTAAGAGTGGTGGACTTTTCACATGGAGAACTGGGTTTTATTTATTTATAATTTAAATTTATAGACTGCCCTTCTCTGAGTACACAGAGCTCAGGGCGGTAAACAACAGTAAAAATATTCAGACATTAATAAAAACAATTCCAACAATTAAATAAAAATAGCTAAAAATGGCGCTGAAACTTCAGAGTTCCAAAAGTGTGTCACTGTCTCGTAGGAGAGGTAGAGATGAAGCAGAATGGAGGAAGGGGGAAGGGAATGCCAGGTAGGATGGTACCCATTGCTTGTCCTCAACCAAACGCCTGGCAGAACATCTCTGCCTTGCAAGCCCTGCGGAACTGCATTAGGTCCTGCAGGGCATGGATGTTGTTCAGCAGAGAGTTCCACCAGGTGGGAGCCAGGGCAGAGAAGGCCCTGGCTCTGGTTGAGGACAGCCGGGTGTCTTTTGTGCTGGGGATTGCCAGTAAGTTGTTCTCTGCAGAGTGTAAAGCTCTTCAGAGGACATACCCGAGGAGAGGAAGGGAAGGCGATTGTAAGCCACTCCAAGACTCCTTTTGGCAGTGAAGAGCGGGATATAAAACCAACTCTTCTTCTTAGCTCAGGCTCCTCCCCAAGAACTCAGTTCTTCCCTGGTGACTTTTGAAGGCGTCAACTGACATCTTACAAAAGGTATTTTGAAAATACACTAGCAGAAGCTCTTAGCAGTATTGGTCAATACCAGATCTTCCTCCTCCCAGTATTTCTTTGTAATAGATTCTCGAGGTCTAGAGCTCAGATACCTTCAGGGCTGTAACTGGAACAAGGCATCAGAATATTTATACCCCGTTTTTCTCCCCTGACTGGGCACTTGAAGGGGCTTACAGCAGCATTCTCTCTACCTCCATTGACCCTCACAGCAAGAACCGTATGAAATAGGTTAGACTGATAGAGGGACTGGCCTGAGACCACCCAGGAAGCTTCCAGACACAGCAGTGATTCAACGGCTGCAGTCACACACACTAAATAAGCTACTTTCAATCCATTTTCAGTGCACTTTCGTTAGACTGATAGAGGGACTGGCCTGAGACCACCCAGGAAGCTTCCAGGACACAGCAGTGATTCAACAGCTGCAGTCACACACACTAAATAAGCCACTTTCAATCCATTTTCAGTGCACTTTCCTACTGGGTTTTACTGCGTGAACTGGCAAAACCCAGTGGGAAAGTGCACTGAAAGTGCACTGAAAGCCCAGCATGTAGTGCGTGTGACCGCAGCCGAAGCTGGGTCTCCCAGATCCTAGCCCAGCATTCTTATTTTGACGCCTCTGCCTGTCCTGTGTTGTCCAAAGCCAAATGATCATCCAGTCAGCTTCACTTACTGTAGTATATTCACAGATTGTAAATGTGGTGGTAGGGGAAAGACTTCGGGTAATGAAGGGAGGCCAGACAGGTGTGTGTATGACAGCAGTAGAGCCAGAAATACGCAGGGGGGGGGGGATGCAAATGCCTTTGGGAAGGATATAGAAGTGTGTAACTGGCTTTTCTCTTTGAGAGAGAGGTTTTATGCTGCCACCAGTTTCTCTTGCAGACCTCCTGTAAGAATAGCAGTGTCCCATACAGACTGGTAATTGCTCAGCCACAGAAATCACTTTTGTAGGATTGTGCCAGAGAGCTGACCCCTTGAGTTGACCCTTGAGACCGAAGTTTTTCAAGACCATCTTGGTCTTTGTATAGAAATTCCAAGATGTGATTTGTTAGTCTGCACTTTTAGTAGTGCCACATTAAATGTATGTTATTTGGTCTGAATGTGAACGAAACAGGGTTCTATCGACTACAGGTTGGTCTTGTATAATTGCCTCCCCCCCCCGAAATACAGGCCGATATGAAAAACAGACCATACTGTTTATATTGTCTCAATCAAGCTAATGTCAAGTCTATACAGGTGACAAATAAAAGTGCCATTCTGTGATGCCTTAGAGCCAACCTAGGTCCTTTGTGGCATCAGTATCAATAACAAGCCTGCAGGCAAATGGTGCCTTCTAGAACACTTGGGTGAACCCATTGTCCCTACTGCAGCAGCAGTGGTAAAGTTCAAGTATATCATGAGAAGATAATGGCACATAGAACAGATGGCCCTAAAATTAGAATGCAATTAAAAATTCGTTGCGGAGGCCAGCAATGTATCCATTTCACTTAACTCAGTGGATGCATTGTTTCCCTAGGACTGGTGGTAGTAAGTACATGCTTGTATCACTTTTATAAGCAAGTCTGGGACTGAATACGCAGAAGGGGCAGGTAGTCTGAATGGCAGGATTAAGTGCTGTTTTTGCAGGTAGCTTCACATTGGCAGAGGTGTGTATTGTGTACTGTGTGTTGCTGTGGTTCTGGGGAACTTGCTGTAGAGCCCATGCAGAGTGGCTGTGTATATTATACAACAGTTGTGTTCACTGTGAATGTGTTTGTAACAGAGCTGTCGAACATTAATTATCAATGTGTTTCTTTAAACGCTCATACATGCATGCCTGATTGTCCCACATCGCCCTGATGCATGTACATGGGCATTTTAAGGATTTAGTTCATACTTCTTTATGGGTTGTAAGAAATGCTTATCTACTCTTAGCAAATATGATTGCCAAATGTGGACTTTTATTCTGAGGAAGTAGCCAAGAGATCTCTGTTCTTGTAGATAAATAGAAGGCATTATTGCAGTGAAATAACTTTGATCTTTTGGGGAAATCTTCACTTTTTTCTCTTTTCTTTTAGGGTCTGGACAGCGCTTTTACGGAGAAAAAAATAGCCCAAGACAGCAGCTGGAGTCTGGGTGAGTTCTCTCTAAGTGTCTATTGTCTGTTAGCAGACCTGCCAGTTCTACTTTGAGTGGTAATTACAAGGTTGAATGGTCTCCCTAACATTTTAAATCCTAAGTGGTACTTAAAAATTATTTGTTGAATTTGTATAGCTTTTTCTTAGCACCAGTATTTAAACCTTTTCCGCAGCCTGTTAAGTTTACCAGCAGTTCTGCAAGGTGTTAGTTTTGAAAGCCATGAAGTGGTTCTCTTAATTTTCTTGGAAGCAGTGTCCACTTTGGTTGGTCTGAGCAGCTGCATCAAAATAGGCATTTCAATGGCTTCTTGGAACTTCATTAAGGTAAACTGTGCAAGAGACCGAGTACTATTAGAGTTTGCAAACAGAGAAGTCTTATATTTGATTGCTCTAGATGTGACAGTAGCATGGTATCTGCTACTGAAAAGAACTCTTGAGTGTGGGTTCCCTGGCTCAGGATATGATAGTGCCATTCTACAGGTGGGCCTGATTTTCAGTTTTTTGTCTAGACATCTTTTGGTCCTGGGTTTTTTGTTCTATTAAGGTTGGTAGGTCGTGGCATCCAGCTTATAGTTGATACCAAGCCTCCAATAATACATGATGGGGCAGACCTGGCTCCCGTCACCAAGTGTAGGGAGGAAGTTCTGATTTTAAGAGTAAGAGGAGGGTGCCATTTGGGGAAGCTGAACCTGCCCCTCTCCTGTAGTTCACCTCCCTGTAGGTTGCTACCAGGGCTGGGGTTTAAGCAAATGCTGCTCTTGGGTGTCGTTTGAGTCTGAGGTCTTCATAGGTTGCTGCTGATTCTTGGCTTTGAGTATGAATGCATGCATAATTCAGGAATTCCAAATCAGCCTGTCTTAACCTAATCTTACCCCATATGCTGTATGTCTCCATGGAGGATAATGATCTTCCATCTTAGTATGGGCTGAAGCTTCTTTATATAATTCCTTGCACTACGCAAATGTTAAGTGCACATAGAAAAGGGTGATAGTGCATGAGTTCAGTGTATGTAGTAGTAGCTTAGACTATACACAGAATAGGCTGAAGGCTTGCTGAGAATAAATTTCCAGAATAAAAGAGAACCATCCAGATCTAAAAACATGCTACTACCTAAGACCCTGGAGAGTTGCCACCAGTCTGAAAGGGCAATACTGACCTTGATGGACCAGTCGTTCAATTCAGTGTAAGTCAGCTACATGTGTTCAAGAAATGATTTGTCATCCTTAGCCAACTCAACTTTGGTTGCTTGTGAACTGTAGATACACACGTTGATTGTGGTGGAACTGTGTGTCCATTGTAGTTGTGTTTGCTCCTCTAAGGCTGCGGTCACACGGAAAATAGGCGGATTTTCCGGGCGCGATCACAGCACCACATCTGGGAAGCGTAGAGCTCCCGTGGCGAACCCGAGGCTTCCCACCGAAGATGCAGGGTAAAAAACTAGTACCTCCGAGGTACTAGTTTCCGGAAACCGCGGGGCAAGGGCGGGCGCCTGATTGCGTTTCCGGTGGTAGGTCGTGACATCCGGCGCCTGCCCATGTCCCCTCGCGAACAGGTGTTTTTTTCCAAGTCTCCATGGGATGCGCACAAGCACCCAACGGCACATGCGCACACTTCAGCCCCCTCCTCTTTTCCGTACCCCCCCCACTCCTGGCTCGGCCTGCTCGAGAGGAACTCTCTGCACCGGGCGGCAGAGGGGGAGGTGCAGGGGGGGCATGGTGGGAGGGCGGCCCAGTTGAAGCTTCTCCTGGAGGGGACCAGACAGAGGACACAGTTTGCATTCCTCTGCAGCCCTGGAAGGAGTTAACCCCGCGGAGCCTTTTGCTAGAGAGGCTGC